TTCTCTCTGGTACGCCAACCAGCATTAAGATCACCAGGGCCCAGGTAATCTTGGTAACACAGGATTCTTAGTAATACTGAAGCATTCGTGTGGAAAATTTCAACCAACAATGTACCCATCTGACTGATTGGCCGTCATAACTTTCTATTCATTCAACGAAAATAGTAACTGCACTCGAGAGGCTTTAACAGGCAACCATTCGTTCTTACAGCAATTTGCCCGCTACTTGTGAGTTTACCAGAGTGTCAGCTGAAACACAAATTGCTACTGCTAAATAACTCTAATTAGGTAGATAAGGGTGACGACATAAGAGGTTTCCGGGGCAAATCGTTTGAGCATACAAATTTTGCAATTTCTCACCCGCCAATTCAGACAAACTGGGCAACCAACCCAATCAGGAATAGATGTTTACATCCCATTCTACAACTCGTGTCAAACTTTATAGTATCTCTGATCAGTAGCGTTGAACGGGAGTTAAGCTCTCCGTCGGTACGTTCTTTAATAGCAAACACGAAATAAGAGTTTAGAAGCCATTTCAAATGAAAGTGAATATCTCGTCGGCGTTTTAAGAATGAATGATTTCAATCCTCCACTTGAATTTCCGTGAACGTCCAGAAAATTTCAACCGCATTCGGGCACGTTGGTACCGTAGTAATATTCGCCTTCAATTGCATGCGAGGGCAACGACGGCTTGAGTTTGCATCCCGAAACTTTCCAGCTCTTGCTACATGGCATCATCATGCATTCTAAAACAGCTCATCGTTGTTATTTGATTATCTTCACTAGCATGTGTGAGTAAGAAAAGATGGAATACAAAGGTCATCAAAATCCAAGACTGTAAAATATAGTAATGAGTAGCATTGTCAGGTTCTCACGTTGTTCAAAACTTGAATGGTTGGCGGTTCCTGGTGTACACGGAAAAGCTTCAAATGAAATTTGGATAGAAATTATATGTCAACTCATTTGAACGCTTCTAGTTGAAATTTTTCGTCACATGCACAAGGGTTAACGGTTGATCGGTTGAACGCTTAACTTGAGACGAAAGTTTAAATTGTGATGTACTGCCAAAAGGCGTCCACTCTTAGATGGTATTTTCCATTCTTGCATGTGTGAGTGAGAAAAGATGGAATACAAAGGTCATCAAAATCTAAGACCGTACTAAGTAAAATACACTTTTAGATGGTATTCTTTCCCCAAGTGCTTTGGAGATCACGTACTCGCATGGCTACGTGGTGTTTGTTTCCAGAAGCTCTCTTTTTTTGGATACCATGAAAGTAGCCATGCGGTCCACGCACCCAATTATAGTCTTGAAGTGATGAAATTTACAAATTGATTCGGTCATAAAAATGTATCAAATGGATGATGTTTTTCCATCTCACAAATGTTTATCTTCAGTGTATGGATACAGCGTTGCAGTGATTCAAGGTAGGTCGCTTCACACGCTCACATTCACAACAGTTCCCCTCCTCCGTCGTCGAACCCTAAAGACAGCGAGTGGGTTTGTCACTCGGTCTGCTCACCTCGTCTGAAATTTTGCACTGTGGTGTCGTTTAACATTGGCGATCTAAATTTTTGCTGTGCGTAAACTGCACAAGTAGGCCAGAAGTTTCGTTGCATTCTTCAGCTGTAGATGTGGGGCACGAGATGTGTTTCCCGATAGATGCGGGTCACGTGACGAAGATGGGTGTGGGCTATTTATGTCATTATACCAGATTTCCAGTGGTAATTGGAAACCTTGATGAAATAGTTAAATGCAGCCGGATCAGGGGCAGCTTGTTTGACACATCAGAGTCTCCAAGCTGCAAAACAATATCGAGCAGAGTCTTTCATCTTCGAGATGACGGTGTAGAAAATCAAGCTGCACAGGCATTCAAACATTTGCCCAAATCAGGCATCGATTCTACCCATAATACATGAATTAGACTTCGAAGGCATCAGTCTTTCGACTTTATGAGACAGTCGAATAAGGCTGTGTGACGCTGAGCTTGGTACTTCCTTTGATTGAAGATTTCCCGTTCAACTGCAGTCCGCCGGAAACTGATTAACTGTACGACAGAGCTATGCATTTAACCACAAGAATGTCAGTGATCACGTTTCCACATTTCCAACAAATTTGGTTTTCAGCTCATGTAGCTTGTGAGTTCTGTGCTTCCGCCCACGTCTTTCGTGCAATATTGTCCACATTTTCCGGTGCGTCCAGAATGAGTTCAATAAAGACATCACGCAAACAATGGAATCCCTTTTGGTTGTCTGAATGCTGTTGTTCGTTTTGTGCTCGATTTCATTCTGAGTGAATTTTGGCTAATCGTTCGGCGTTAATCTCCAAGGTTTCTTATTCTATTTGTTATATGTCACTGGGGGAAAATACTACAACGTTAATCTAACGCCCCAAGTTAGAAATATAGACCAGCTACGAATCTTTCACTTGGTTGGTAATAAATGTCTTCGGTGAGAGATCCATCCGGCGTTCATGTGTACATCCTGATTTTCATATTGATCACCGTCACCGCTCAACGGGAGTCATCGACGTATGTGCTTTGCTCTTCTATTAAAGACTGGAAAGAGGTTTCGCCAATAAGTGAGTAGTGTGAAAATTCCCAAAAGTTTCTGTTTTAAAACACGTCAAGTGATGGAAGTCACAATAACCTCATGAACACCTCTTTATCTAATTTGTAAATGCACCTCGGATTTCTGTTGACGACCAGTGGCCAAAATGCAGCTTGGATGAAGCTTAGAAAAGAAACTAATATCCAAGTAAAACATAAGGTTGACGGAAACCCGGGGACTGCGCCTACCTGATGAGCCCCAAAAAGGGCGAAACCGGTAGTGGGCTGGCGACGGATTTTCAGAAACCTTATGAGTAGTACATTACACACTAACATCCTCTTTTTTAACTGATTGGCTGTTTTCCTGCCGTTGGTAGGATGGCACAGATTTGCCAGCAAAATGACTGGAAAACATCACATCCAAAGTATGCTTACTAAAGGAATGTTGGAAATACTTCGTGTCTGACAGTGCCAGCAACTCAAGAGTAGCTGTCTAGTCTCATCTGTTCATGAAAAACGAATTTACCAGGAATTACAGAGTATATTCCACGGAATGATCCATATATGAGGTCGAACTGGGCTCGTTCTATTGTTTGCACCGCAACTGGAAACCACATTGGGCCCGCATCAATTATCGATGGTCCATCTGGCTTGACATCGCTTAGCCCTGGAGACCGCTTGTCAGTGAACTTGATTTTCGATGTCAGTGTACGGTTGCGTGGCGCATCAAGCGCACCAATCAAAATACTAAGCGGAATTTCATCTGAAATATCT